ATACAATATTCTATGTGTCCATTTCTTACATCTAACGTCATTATTATGAGGTTTTATAAATGGTATAAAAACACGTTTTCTTCCGGATATCGATTATCCGACGTACAATTCGCAAAAAAGCAATGCTTTATTGTCATTAAACTAGCACAAAATAATTTTCTATATTAGATTTAAATTTTTAAATAATAAATTAATATTACGTAAATAACACATGTGAGAGGCAGCACTACTAGTGCTGCCTCTCGTGACAGGTTTGCTGTACTATTCTCAGGAAAAAGGCTTATTCCGTCAGCATGAAAATTGTAGGTATGCTTTGGACTCGATGAAGTCGAAAAAGACCGTTTTTGTCTGGTCCTGATTGGTAAAAGTTCTACCAGGGAGAACGTTGTAGAAGTGATTGAAAAGATGATAGAGAGGTCTGGGTTTGGATCGGTCATCACATGTGATGATCCGATCCAAAAAATATCGTTTTGGTAGTTGCAAAAGTAAAAAAGAACACACTTCATAGCGTGATAATTCTGTCAAACGTTCAAATCTTGAAGCACCCACTTTTCGAGTCTTTCGACCATCAAAAACCACATGAGAACTGGCACCCAGTTCTTCCGCTATTCTCGCACTGTTTGTGATGGGCCACTCTCACCACCGGGGTCCTCAAATCCTCGTTCTGGATTACCGAAGGTCAACCATTTTGGGCTTATCTTCGAGGCTAAAACATCTGGAACGAAATTTCGGAACCCAACGTTGAACAGTGCGTTCATTAATACCATCATTGCCAAATGCCTGTTTGATTTTTCGGTCTGTTAATCTTGAAAAATGACTTCTTTTATACAATTTTTGAAGGAACCTTTTACCTATCAAGATATAATTCGATGTTCACCGGGCACCAGTCTTCCAGTGGAGAACAAGTTATTTCAAATGATATCCGGAAATTTCATGCAAACACTACCACGTTCCTTTGACATTTCCATAATGGAAGTCGTGAAACATTGCTCCTGATACATTTCACAGTGATTTATGTATTTCAGCATTGCGATACTAATTGCGCGAAATTAAAATCTATTTTCAGACGTGTCGGGGTTGTAGACTTTTTCTTTGCGGCAAACGCCTTATCTGAATTGTTAAAATATGAGTATCGATTGTTTCGCGATTGTAGTAGCCTATAAATAGACCTGGAAAATAATAACATATAATTATGTGTTGCTTTCCACCGATTCTGAAAGTCTTTGTTCACCTGAGAAGTGCCAAAAATGGAAAATGCCCAGGGTTTCATGAGATAGTGAAATACTTAGTGTTTTAGTGTTTTGTGTGGAACCAACTGAGCGAACAAAAATATTTTTTCATAGTTTTATATGTGTCAATTGAAAAACTTATTTTTAAGGAGCAGGGGAGACCCATAAAATCTAAAATGAGCGATACCAATAATTTTATTGGACCTCACAGGTCATACTTCGATGTATCCTTTTCGAAGCTCTGGTCTATTAGATATATTCCTAACAGTCGTAGGGGTCTGTGGAGAATCATTCTTTAGAGTCCTAGGGGGCTGTGGAGAATCATTCCTCATAGCCGTGTGGCATGATTTTGAAGATTGTTTAGCTACTTTTTCAAAAATACCAAATTCGTGGCCTTTTTCGTTGGCAGTTCGCAAACAAATCTGGTAAACAAGTTTAGAAACACTTTGTGAGCCAAGAATAACAGCCTTCTGCATTTATTATCGTTATCCCCGAACGTTAAGCTGGTTGGGTCCAGTCCCCGGAGCCCTGACACATTGGGGAGTGCGCGCCACTCCCTACACCGTGGGGTAAGTGATCATTGGGTCCGAGAATCATGTGCCCGAAGCATCTACAGTGAGCCAAGAATGACAGTCTTCTGCACTTATTATCGTTATCCCCGAACGTTAAGCTGGTTGGGTCCAGTCCCATCGGTCAAATTCAGTCTGATTTATGCGCCAAAATTTGACGTTTCGGATGCCTCCACCGTTAACCAGCTGTACTGGCCGAGTACTAACGAGGTCTTACCTTTCAACGTGTGATTCCCAACACAGGTTGGACGATAGCAAGTGAAAATCGATCGTTCAGCCTGCGGCTTGAACCACCGCCTCACACATTTGTCGATTGAGAGGTGACAAATTACCCACGTCGAACCGTCCAGCTACCGGCCTACCGAAAGCCAACACTTTCATTATTTTTCTGATTGTGCACATTCAAAATTATCTTGTAAATAAAAATCATGGTCACATAGAAAATGGACTTGTTTCATGCTATGGAAAATGATACTGGTTTGCTTATAGACTGATCGAGTTAGGGGTATATTATCCTTATCAAGCCTAATCGGTCCCAAGATCTCTTTATATTTGCAGAAAAAAGAATAATTCGAAAAGCAAGAATTTAAATTGGCCGCGTGTCTGTTGACCAATAAAATTGATCTTGTCTAGAGCAGAGTTGCCAAGTGTATTGGTTTTTAATATCCAATCACAGATCTGATGATCCAATTTGACAGACGCCATTTTTGTTGTTATTGTTGTCGACTCGGTGT